TGTGTTAATTGGCTATTCATGGGATCAGTGAGGCTTCCAGCTAACAGAAGGCTCTTAGGAGTTAAGTCTCGGGAGGGAGGTTCAAAAGTTATACGTGGGTTTTCTTTTCTTTTCTTTTTTTTTTTTTTGAGAGGCAGAGAGAGGATGGGGAAGGGTAGAGGGAGAGAGAGAATCTCAAGCAGGCTCCATGCCAGGCATGAAGCCTGATGTGGGGCTCAATCTCACAACCCTGAGATCATGACCTGAGCTGAAATCAAGAGTCGGAAGCTTAACCGACTGAGCCACCCAGGTGCCCCACAGCATGGATATTTTTTAAGAATACAAGGCCCCCCTTTTTTTCTGTAACAGACCACTCCCCATTTTGGGTTTGTCTCACGTCTCCTCGTAAGGAGATGGGGGGTTATGCCCTTTTGGCAGGACCCTGCACAGACAGGGACCCTGGGCCTGGTTCCAGTGGCCCCACCATGGCGCCAGGCCCAGCGCCCCTTGCAGCGGACGTTCGTATCACTCACCTGGCTCAGCTGCTGCCTGCTTCCTCTGCTTTCATTCCCTGCTCCTGAGAAGCAGTCTGGGGGGCGGGCAGCTATGGAACCAGCAAACACCCTGCGGCTCGTGGACATTCCCCCCCAGACAGCCTCACTGGGGATTTTTGCCTGGACTCATCTTTACTCTGGTGGCTGCTAGATGAGGAGCCCCCATCTCCAGTGACTGCTCTGGTCCACCTGTTGGCCCTCAACATCCTGCCCATGAGGGGGAGCCTTTAATCCCCCCAGCTCGTGCATCTGTTGTTGGCTCAGGGACGTGGGTTCCCATTTCCAATGGCATGTAACATATTACTGTCCTGAATGGGTTTGCACAGATTGTCCCAGATTTGGCCAGGGGGAGCCCCTTGAATCTCCTCAACGTCCTGTGGCATGACCCCTCATTTTCTGAGCACAGACTCCCTTGCTGGTATTGCAAGAGTTCCCGGGATCATCTTGTCCCCACCCTGCCCCAGCTCTGGGCTCAGCCATTTCCCTGAAGGGCCCTGGATTCTTGCAGAGACCAAGATCAGGGCTCTAGGGGTGCTCACTGCTCCCAGGATCTCTTTGCTCCTTGGCCCTTTCAGCAGACAGACCTAGGAAACGTGCACGTAAATATATACGTACACAGACACATACAGATATGCATTCGCATTATGCATGCAAGAATGCATGTCCACAGACATACTTGTATTTTAGAAACTGTGAGGTCACACCCACACCTCTAATTCCGGTCAATCCTCAGGGCGTGTCCTTGCCTCCCCCATCGATCCTCGGGTGCCCCTTCTTCTGCGGTGAGAATCCTCCCAACCACACCAGCGCTCACTCGCTCAATCCTATAGGGCATAGCAAATACTTTCACAATAGCTGTGCCCACACCAGCCCAGTGAACAAAGCCGCTGAGCAGAGCTGAGGGCTTGCAGGTCATGGGCTCCTGTGGCTGCTCGGCTCTCAGTCCCTCTCCTTCCCATCGCTGTGGCTACAGTGTTTGAAATATAATTAGGTTCATTTGCTTAGGTTTATCTTCAGTTTTAGGTCCCCCCACCCCCCGTTCAGGTCTTAATGATTTAATTTTACTTTTTGAATATATGGAGTATAACATGTCTAACCCAGGTGACCCGTAGCAGGAACTGTGTAATTGCTTATGGAAAATTTGCTATGGAGATGTCGGGAGGGAAAAAGTCCAAGTGGGAAGGTTCTTCCTTCTCCTCCTGACCCCAGAGTGAGTGCTGACTCCACCCTGACATCCAGACTTCCTGGGTTGCCTCTTGGGGAATTTCCCTCCCCCCACCTGGGGGCGCCACACCCACCTGGGGTGCTTTCCCAGGTCTGAGTTTCTCTTGGGGCACTATCCTGCAGGGTGGAGGCCAGCAGGACCTGGCCAGGTAGCTTCCAGAGGACCACAGCCCTGGACACGCAACCCGCTGGGCGGGGGGGGGCACATATCTGCATGCGGATTGCAAGTGCGTCCGCGTAGACCAGGCATCTATGCTCCCCATCTGACTTGATTTCCCCTTTCTTCTCACTTACTGATTTTCACGAATCCCGATTCCCTTTATGCAATGTATCTAGCAGAATATGGAAAGGCAGGGAAGCCAGGGCGCGTGCTGAAGGACTCGCTCACTGGCCACTCACCACCCACCAGCTGCTGGGGTCCCAGAGTTTCTAGAGAGGGTCTGAGAGCTGATTTCCCGGGCTCCTTCCTCTGTTCCCTGGGCCCCACCCCAGTGATTTAATGGCTCGCCTCATCTAAAAAATAAAGCTAGAAATGCCTTTCTCCTCCCCAGGAACTGGAACCATTTACTAGGTAAAACTCTTTAATGGATTTTGAAATCTCGGGGGAGGGGCCCCTCTAAGGATGAAAAGCATCCTCCTGGAGGAGAAAGGTGAGGGAAGCAGGGGCCCCTGGGGTAGTGGAGAACCAGCCCTGACTCGGCCCTTCCTCTCGGCCTCCTCCTGGCAGCTGTACCTGATGAAGCAAGAGATGCAGCGCCAGAAGATGTCTTCCTCCCGTGAGCAGGAATTGCGAGAGCGGTCCCTGCAGATTGCCGGCGGCCTGGAGCCTGGGGACAAGGAGCTGAGCCACCTGAAGGAGGAGACTGAGAAACTCCGGTCACTGACCTTCAGCCTGGTGGGTCGGGCTCCCGTCCCCAGCAGCTGCCCGGGGCTCCCGCAGGCTGGGGGGGTTCTCACAGGTGGTCCGCAGAGGGGTGGCTGAGGACCGGGAGCCCATCCAGGGGCACCCTACGTTTCCCTTCCTGCTCCTCGCCGGCCCCCAGCGTGGCAGGATGGACAGCTACTGGACGTGCCGAGCAAGGCCCCCCTCAGCTCAGCAGCTGCTGCGGTGCTGGTTTAGAGGGAATTAGGCTGATTATAAATGACAGGATTCAAGGTTGGGGGGGGTACTTTTTTGCCTGCAGAATATTCTGCCATCCTGCCCAGGCGCGCTCTGGAAGGAAGCCGCAAAATGGGTGATGCCAACGTCTGGAATTATGCAAACTTCTGCCCCTCCTCGTCGATTCCTTTCAATCAATAAAATGTCTATTTATAGAGCTGTTCCTCCCAATGAGTAGACATTCCCTGGGTGCAGGGCGGGCCGCCGCGGCCGGTCTCCCGCCTGGATGGTGCCACCATTCCGAAGCCCCTTCCTGAGCAGTGGGCCAGAGAGGGAATGGTGTGTCCTCCGTCAGAGACTGTGCTGGTGGATTTGTGGACAGAGCGGCCTGACCTGGCCCACAGGGGGGATGGCCACCCCGAGAGACATTCAGTTTCCTTTACTTTCTATCCTTGAGCCCAGAGAAATAGAAGGGAAATGCACGTTTCCCATTTTGATTGTTGACCCTGCCTCTTCTCCTGCCTAGTGTGCAGGGATAAGGTTGAATCCATCCACACGCCCAGCCCCGAAATTTCCTGCTGCCTGTTCTCGGGGCAGAACGACGGGGAACTTCCCAGGGGCAGGCCTTTCAGGAGGTCGGGGTCCCGGGGCTGACCTCTCTTTGCCCCAGGCGGAGAATGACATCCTGGAGCAGAACCTGGACGAGGCCCTGGAGAGCAAGCAGGAGCTGGTGGACCGCATCCACTCTCTGAGGGAGCGGGCTGTGGCCGCCGAGAGGCAGCGCAAGCAGGTGACCCCAGCAGGGCAGCACGGGCAGGGAAGACAGGCTCTCGCAAACGCTCATCCCTCGTGGAAGCTTGATGGAGCACGGACTCATGGCCCATGGCTAGCGGTCCCGTCTGGTTTGTGGGTGGTCAGAAAAGGATCAGACACACGAGCAACAAAACTCAGGGTGCTTTCCAGTGTGGGGGGGTGAGGTTTATTTAGTTGCTACGACAGGCGAGGGGAGGATTGGGAGGAAGGGGACAGTGGGAGAGAATGAGGCAGCGTGGAGGGAGATTATTTACGTCTTTTGGGACATGGAGTGAACAAAACGTAGTTATACCTGCAACTTGTGTTCTGATAACTGAAAGCAAATACAATCAGCATAGCAACTCCGTAGACACACCTTGAAATTTAGCACTTAAGAAACGAGCAGGAGGTCACCGATTTCACCTTCCGAACCGCCCCCTCTGTCCCTGAGGCCCCCCCTGGCCCGCCCCATCCTCCGCCGACCCCCAGCACCGCTGGCCTGCATGGGCTATGTTTGTCCCCGGCCAGTACTGGGAAGAGAAGGAGCAGACCCTGCTCCAGTTCCAGAGGACGAAGGTAGACTGTGACCTCTACAAGGAGAAGGTGAACGCCCTGCAGAGCCAACTGCTGCAGCTACAGAAGGAGCGCGACCAGGTACCTTGGCGGGGAAGGGCCCCGGGCCCCCGGCTGAGCGGTGGCAGAATGTGTTGCCTGGCCGAGGCTCCTCAAGAAGCCTTCGGGGTTTAACCCCGGGCTGGCTGGGGTCACGCGGCTCCCTGCACCACCCGATGGCAGTTGGTTCCAGATTCCCGTCTCTCTCCCCCGGCTGTCCCCTACCGACACGCTCCCCCGTGCCATCCTCCCTCCTTTCCTGTCTGACTCCCAGGCCTACTCTGCCCGGGATGCAGCCCAGATGGAGATTTCTCAGAAGCTGACGGAGAAGGACGCCCTCCGCAGGAAAGTATTTGAGCTGACAGACCAGGTCTGCAAACTGCGCCAACAGCTCTGCAGGCCAAAGGCCGAGTCCCCGCAGGGGGTGAGTGCTTCCCTCCCACCCTGCAGGGAGGCCGGTGGCTGTGTGCGCCCATGGGACGGGTCCCAGGCCATGCGCCGCCCCGGCTGGGACATCGGGTTCAGCCGTATCTGCCGCACGCTGGCTCTCGTGGGTGAACCTTGTTGCCAAGTCATTGAAGCAAGTTGAGTCTGTGTCTGTATCTCCTTTGATGGTAATCATATGCAAGTCATGGAAGAGGTAGCTGAATGGAAGGTTCTGGCACCTGTCACGTACAGTGTTCGATGAAGAAAGAAAGCATATGAAACTGGGCCAGGCAGCCACTCGCTTTTGTAGATGATGCATTCCTGAGATGTTTGCAAGTCCGATGTCCAAGAGCCCACTTCCATGCATGAAGGGAACTATGTTCCCAAAGAGCTAAAATGATTACAAGACCTCCAGTTATGGTCCGTCCGCAGCTCCAGCTCCAGGCGCCTGGTGGGTGGGTGAGACCCTTCAGAGGCGCCCAGGACCTCGGTGAGGCCTAGGCAGACCCTCTTCTTCCTAGGTGGAGCCCCCAGCCCTTCCTCCTTCAACCTCCTCACATCCACCACGTTCCAAAAATATATATATACGTATTTAAAAAAGGTAGACCGCAAGATGCCAACTTTCCTGTCCCTGAGTGTGGAGGATGGGAGAACCTTGCTTTCTTTACTCAGTTCTGTTTGCTCCCAGTATTCTATATGGAGTTGGGAATATAATACACATAGCATGTTACTTGTGTAACCGGTAAGGAACAACATGTAATCTCTAAAAGAGATGAAATAGCATTCACCAGGCTGGTTCCTTTCCGTCTCCTTGGGGGTCGGCTCCTGCGTGCTGGGGGTCCCACGCTCCGAGGAGGGGACATGATGAGGGGAGGCTGCCCGGAGGGTGGAGGCGGGAGGTGGAGACGGGAGGGAGGGGACTTGCTGGAAACCCCCAAGAGCATCCAAGAGGAAACGTGCCTGAACTGAGCAGCCCGGGGCCCGTCTTCGGCAGCCTAAGCAGGAAGCCAGCGCCAGGGAGCCCTGTCCGAAGGGAAAGCAGCCGCTGGTGCGCATGTTCGCCATCTGCCCACGGGATGACAGCGACTCCGGCTGCCCCGGCCCCCCTGAGGTACGGCGGGGGCCTCTTCCCCTCCTGGGCCAAGCCAGGGGCACGCTCACCTGGCGGGACAGACGGGGCCTGGCGCACGCAGGTGCTGAAGACGTCCTCGTGACGTGGACGCGGGCCTGTGTTCAGATCTGTGCTGCACGCCTGCCCCGCTGCGCACGTGACCCTCACCAGCCGGGCGCGGGCCTCTCTGGGCCTCGGTGGCTTCGAATGTGAAGTGGGACCGTACTACCCACCGTGTAGATTTATCCGGCCGCACCGAGCAACATGAGATACGGAAAGCAGCTAGTAGGGTGCCTGGCACACAGTAGGTGCTCAGCTAGCGTGACCTTGCTCCGTGCTATGTCCTTCTCACCGCCCCTGCCCTGACAGTTGGGGACCACGATTTATTATGGTTTTTCCCCTCACGCCGTGGAGCAGCGGGGAGGTGTCGAGCGGGGTCCCGTGGGAGCCCTGTGCCCACCTCTGCCCTGTCCCCCCCCAGTCTCAGCTCTGCTCTGACCTGAACGCCACGTCCAACCGTGAGCTGGTGGACAGCTTCCGCTCCAGCAGCCCCGTGCCTCCCAGTCCGCAGTCCCTGTACAAGAGGGCCGCAGAGGACTTCCGGGAAGACCCCGGGTCTTTCAGGTAACGACTGGCAACGGGGTTCAGATGGCGCAGGCCCCGGCAGCTCACTGGGACACGGGCCGAGGGCGGGGCAGGTGCAGGGACTCTGGGTCTGAGCGGGGAGCAAGCGAGGCAGCCCGAGCGGCCGTCTTCCCGTGCTTTCCAGTGGCTTCCCAGAAATCCTGCAGGTGGACCGGGGACCCACCCCGGGGACGAAAGCAGGTGACGCAGACCTGGATTATGAGATCGTAGACAGGGCAGGTGAGTGCGCCCCACCTGGGCCTCTGCAGCCACCCCCTCCCCTGAGCTGGGCTAGCTGGGCTGGCTGAGCAGAAGTGAGAACAGGGGTCTTCAGGGAGGCAGGTGAGACAGCCCCGTACCTCTCCAGGGTTGGGCTGAGGAGGCGAGCTTCACCGCTGCCCCGCCCTGGGCCTCTGGGGAATCCTGACCACCTGGTCCTTTGAGCCCATGCCCTGTTTACTGGGCATCCTTTCTGTCTCTCACCTTGAAGCCAAGGGAGTTGTGTTCATCTTCCCGTCCAGCTCAGCATTACCGCTCAGATAGCTCTGGACACACGTGTTCTCTCCATCCCTCCCTGCTCTCATGGCGACATCAGAAGACAGCAGGCTTTAGTCCCCCACCCCTGGAAAAGGCATCTGCTGGGAGCATCTCTCCCCCCAGGTGTGGCACGTGAGACCTTCCCACATCTCCTGTGGCTTATTCCTCATATTTGTGACTTGGCTTGTCTCCTCTCCTTCTCAACCTCTCCTTATGTGGCCCCACATAGACAGCCTCCTCACCTTTTCCACCCTGCACATCTGCCTACCCCCCCCCCGCCCCCCGCCGTGAGCCTCGTGCACAGCAGGTGCTTAGCACCCGGTCTGGAATTCACCCCAGTGGCCACCAGGGGGCGCACAAACCTCTAGCTGTTCAGAACATCCACCCCTTTAGGGCAGGTGGGGTCTGAGGCTCCCAGTGGGTCACTTGACGAGAAACCTTGCCCCCTGCGAGATGGTGTTAACCGAGAGGGTCCCCCCAGGGCATATCCATCCTGGATGTGATGCTCTTTGTTTCCTTTTTTTTTTTTTAAGATTTTATTTATTTATTCGACAGAGACACAGAGAGAGAGGGAACACAAGCAGGGGGAGAGGGGGAGGGAGAAGCAGGCTTCCGCTGAGCAGGGAGCCCGATGCGGGGCTCGATCCCAGGACCCTGAGATCATGACCTGAGCCGAAGGCAGACGCTTAATGACTGAGCCACCCAGGTGCCCCTTTTTGTTTCCTTCTGCCACAATTCTGTAGAACGTCCTAGTTTATACACTTTTAGTGGAATTGACCTCAAGTACATCAGGAGTATACTATTTTCATTTGACTCTGAATGTAATCATGAATTTTGCCTGTGAGCTCGGCAAAAATAGCAGGTAACCGTTGACCCAGGCAGAAATGCAGGTCCAGGCAGAAATGCGGCCCATTTTTTTTCTAAGTTTTTATTTTAATCACCCAGTGCTCATCACAAGTGTACTCCTTAATCCCCATCACCTATTTCACCCACCCACCCCCACCTAGATTTGATTTTTAATGAAGCCAGACATCCAAACTCCAGCTGCCCTATCCTGTAAAATGTTGGCAAGTCATTCAACTATCTCATAAGGACACGCTATAGGTCAAACCCCACTCCTGTTTGGGGAAGATGACCTCAAGATTCTAAGCAGTGAGGAAGGGAAGAGGCAGGGAGGTTCAGCCTCAGCAGGAGGAGACAGACCAGCAGGGGGTGCTGCCCAAGGCTGGGGTGGGGGGACGAGGTTGCCCGAGTAAGCAAAGCTCCGTCGGGAGGGGAGAGCCGGGGGGCTGGCCTGCCATGTCTGAGCCCTCCACTTCCGTTCAGACGTTCCTGAGTGTGAGAGCAGCCTGCAGCCGTGGGCCGGGGGCCTCACCCTGTCGTCCAGGTGAGCGGCGGGAAGGGCCGGGGCCAGCAGGTGGCAGGGCAGAGTGAGGGCTGTGTCCTATCACTATTGGGAGGTGATGGCCCCTCTGAGGATGAGATCATGGTTGGGGCGTGTGTGTGTGTGTGTGTGTGTGTGTGTGTGTGTGTGTGAGAATTCCAGAATGCTGGGGCCAGCGGGGCCAGGGCCTGGCCTGACCTCCTGCTCTGGTGGCTCGTGGGCTCTGTCACCCCCCTCCTGCAGCAGCGTCCCAGTGCGGAGGAGGCCGGCCCGCAAGATCCTGAGCCAGGTCACCGTGCTGGCCTTCCAGGAGGACGCCCTGCTGGAGCAGATAAGCATCATCAGTGGTAACCTCACGGGCATCTTCATTCACCGGGTCACCCCCGGCTCGGCGGCGGACGAGATGGCCTTGCGCCTGGGCACTCAGATCATGATGGTGAGTGCAGCCCCCGCCCCACAAGCCCCTGCCCAGGGACCTTCTCTGGGTAGGGTCCGACTTGACACGGGCGTGTTGTCAGGATAGCCCAGGCTCCCTCTCGGGCTGAGGTTACACTCACTTAAAGGCTACGTTCCAGATGACTCCCATGGGAACCCTGGCCCGTCTGGATCCCTGACGTTCGTGAACTCGGCTAGGTGAGCCCGTGAGCTCAGGCGAGGACCACCTGCCATCTGAGAAGGCTTCTGGCTGCAGCGGCCCTGACCCGGGACCTTTCCATAGGGCCATAGCCCGTTCTTTTACTGTGCTGATCACGTTGTGTGTATGTAGTAAAATACACAGCCATCACATACAATTCACCATCTCGTTGGGGGCATCTTTAAACCTTTTTTATTGCAAAATATTCGTTGAACTGCAAAACCCATAAATATACTGCTTGACTAATTATTATCAAGTGAATATGTGGGCAGGGAGGTGACTTTAATGTGGCCTGGAAGCAGAAAACAGTCACCCTGTTCCTGAGGCTGGTTCCCCCAGGAGGAGCCTGGGGTGAGCCTGGGGTGAGGTGGGGGCGGCCTGCGGCGGAGGCGAAGGCTGAGAAGTGTGGGCAGGCACCACCTTTGCTCCGGAGCCCTGGGCCCGCCGGCTTCTCCCTCACCGCTAACAGGCTACGTTGTGGTTAAAGCAACGTTTATGATGTTTGGGGAGACAGTCCTGATATCTTAATGTATTTTATTATTATTTATTTACTTTTGAGTTTTTAATTCCAGTTAGTTAACATACAGTGTTATGTTAGTCTCAAGTGTACAATATAGTAACTCAACACTTCGGTAATCACCCGCTGCTCTTCCCAACTCTTGAATCCTCATCACCTGTTTCCCCCATCTCCCCACCACCTCCCCTCTGTAACCATCAGTGTGTTCTCTAGAGTTTAGAGTTGGTTTGTCTCTCTTTTTTCCCCTTTGCTCATTTCTTTTGTTTCTTAAATTCCACATATGAGTGAGATCATATGATAATTGTCTTTCTCTGACTTATTTATTTCACTAAGCATAATATCCTCCAGTTGCATCCATGTCTTTGCAAATGGCAAGATTTCATTCTTTTTGATGGCTGAGTAATATCCCATTGTGTGTATATACCACAGCTTCTTTTTTTTTTTTTTTAAGATTTTATTTATTTATTTGA